ATGCAAAGATCCCAGGTTACACCTCTATCCATACTACAGTTGCCTTTTAACGCTGGTTTCCAATTTTAGTGGTTAATAATCTGTGTGAAGTCCACCTGTTAAGTGTTTTCATCGTTATCAGCTGATAACATCTCCTTTAACTCTTAAGCTCCAACGAATGACCATGATAGAATTTCTCCTTACAATACTGATACAATATCGAGCCGATAAGTAACGGAAATCAAGAAAAATATCAATTAGGGCATTATCAATTGATCCAATACCAATTACTTCAAACTAACATCATCAGAATCGTATGGCTGACAGAAAGGAGAATTGCTAACGAGATCTTGGAAGTGAAAGGGAGCTCTGTTGACATGCAACGAAAAATTTTGATAAAGATGATTCATGAGCTGAAACGCGAGTGATTGATAGAACAGAAATTTTTTTGCCATCAATTTTTCGAGCTAATACTAATGATAAGATCTTAGGTCAAATGCAGTCATATTCAATCACTAGCATGTGAAATTTATCGTAGTATGGTCGTTTTGATACAAATGGATTCGATACAAACTAAAAGACAACTCGATAGATACAGAAGGTCGTTTCGATACAACTTCAGTCATTTTGAGACAAACTAGCAAAAGATAAATTTGGATGTTTTCAACTGTCTTCCAGTCCAATGAAGGGGGACAGTATTCATCTACTATTTAGACGTGGTTTTCCTGGTGTAGTTCTCTTAAGGTAGTTTCCTTTGGCACTGATCTGTTAGAGAAGTTGTCTTTTTCTCCAGAACTGAGACGGTGTTTTCGTTTCTCAAAACGCTCGGTGAAGTTGTTCTCATCTTTCAAGACGTCAAAAGGGTTCTCCTTGTTGGAACTACAACAGATAAACATTGAATTTTAAATTTGTGGCAAAAATATTTTTGACAACCAAAACAACCAAGCAGCGACAGGGGTAATAACGTGTGCACACGTAGGCCTGGGCTTGAGCTCAGCTGAAAATTGTGTTGTGCTCCTGGACGAGACACTTTATTTTCTCAATGCCGCTCGCCATCCAGGGGTATAAATGGGTAGTGGTGAACTGCCAGGGAGGCGTGACGAGATGCTGTGGGGTGGGGGATAACCTGAGACGACTACATCTCCTCAGTGGGGTGGGGCGGAGGGAATATTCGTGCATGTGGACTCTTCATGTCATAACAGCTGTGATAAACCAGGCCCTGATCATGGAAACACCCAGAGAAAGTGAATATTAGAAGCTAATAGTGGATGTACATATGGACGTCAGAACCGCCAACGTTAATCAAAACTTCGCAATCACGCCACGCGATACGCAGTTTCATTAAGACAGTTTTCTTAAAGTATCGAGACCAAAGGATACGCTCGGACGAAAAGCAACTAGGAAACGGCAAATGACGTCATAACAAAAGGGGTTCTCAAGAAGCTCTTAGGTGGAAAGATATACCCCGAAGGCATTCTATTGAGCAGCACGTTCTTTAAGATTAAATGAATAAATTTCTCCTCAGGTGACGACGCCACTGACGCACAGTGGACACAGGTGTGACGATGACAGTTAGTGCCACTGTGGTAAAGTTGAAGAAGGTGTAGGTGGGTCTAGTGATGTTAGGTCGCAAACGGTAATACAGAACAGCTATGCATCACTGCGTATTACCGATCCTTGGTTGTGTCTCAATAAAATTTTCTTAATACCCCATAAGGGTCTGTAGTATTCTGATGATCCCGCTCACTAGAGGTCAAATTTCTTAATTTCACCCCTCCAAACTCTGTTAGAGGCGACTGGTCTCCCTTCATACCCCCTTGAAAACCACGTGATCCTCCCCCCCCTCCTAGAATCCTTCGACCCACCCCGAAGGGGCTAAATAATGACAGGTCCACTTATTCCTTTTTTGAGTCTACAACATGTGGTTTACAAGATGTTTTTAATTTTACTTTTTATAGAACTCAGCTGGATGAATTTAGAGTGAAATTTGAGCATTGTCAAAGTTTTCGGCAGTTCGTGTTTGGCATCATTTGCAAAAGTTTCATGGATTCTACATACCTGTAGTAGAATTGACGGCGGGACTTCTAGGGGCTATGAAATAAAAAAATACATATCACTATCATTTGAAAAAGTGACATTTTCTTCCTACATAAACAAACACCAGACGTGCGCAAGTGAACGAAAAGGTGTGTACTAAGACGATCGGTATTGTAAACGATTGGCACACGTCTTCGAGATTGCTTCACTCCACTGAAGACAGCAAGGAACAATATTCCCCCTGTTAAATTTCTCAAACGTGCATTATCAGAAGAATTTCCGTTCCGAGAATAGTTCAAATCAGAAAAGCAACTACTCACCAGGCGAGGAATTTTTTTTAATTCGTTTGTACAGCATGGAGAGATACGTCATCACGCTCATCTCGTCAATCTCTTCCATTGATACCAGGTCACTTGCCTCCAAAAGAGCTGGAACTTTGAGTTTTTCCTCGGCCACTTTGAAAGCCTGAAATATAAAACTTACTTTGCTCAACACAGCTAAAACGTGAGGCAATGCGCTCTTTGACTTAAGTAAGTTCTTGAATTTCATTCATCGCCCTTGCTCTGTTTTCCTCAAGTTATGATACATTTTCGTCCGTTCGTTTATGGAGAGACTTGAAAATATGGAGATCAGTTATACATATCACAAAACTAAAGCTCTCTCTTTCTCGAGAATGCACGGTTTGGTCCAAGTAAACCTACCAATTCATTGTTTTTCAAGGCGTCCTCCTTAGAAAGGTCGTCAAATTTGCTGCAAAGTGAAAGAAAATTATCAGAAATATCTCTGTGGAACCAATCCGCAAACCTTAACTTGTCCAACTCAATATTTTGAGACCCGCGTCATGTTAACGTTATTAGGGACCGCCATTGTAAGTCTAAAATACAACTATACCATGCTTTCATTTTAGCATCATTTCAAAATCTGCTAATAATTACATTTTCCCCACCTTCGGCTTGTCTTTTCCTCCAACCTTACAAAAAAAGTTTATTGACATTATCCATCGATGGTTCACTTCCTATATGCTATTTAGTGCAGAGTCGAAAGTTCGCCCTCTTAAGGGCATCTGTATATTTCATATTTACTTGTGTATTTAAAAAACTTTAAGTCAAGGTCAAAGTCGAAGAAAAAAAACATACAATTTAGGTTCTTATAAAAGGGTATGACTCAAAATCAAAGTGCTACGATCAATCTCGAGCTAGAACTAGGCGTTAATTTTTTTTTTTTTTGCATAATAAAGCTTCTGTGGCCTTAATATTCTTGTTACCATGGCTGCAATCAATAACGCTCTATTTGTTCGATGTTTATCAATAATTTTTAACGTTTCCACTTAACTTTAATATAAAAGACACAGTTTGAACGATTACTCGTATGTAAAGGCGGCAGTGAAACTTTTTCAATTTTATTTTTCACTGGATGTCTGCGAGATGAACGCGTTGCGGTTCTTTAAAATCTGTACTTAAATAATTCAATATTTTAGGGACACTTTTGCATTGATACGTGCCTCTTGGTTAAATCTCTCGTCTCGCTTGGTGACCTCAGACAATCAATTAACATAAATAAGTTTGGGTTCACTTCAGAGGATTATACAGATTAGAAAGTTTCCCGTGATGTTACATGTCGCGTTCGCATCACATACCGCGCACATATGATGAACAAATGCTAAAAAAGCAGAAGTTCCAGTTACAAGTTACTGCAGTTTTCACGAATCTCCTCTGTCTTCACTTAAAATATCACTGCGTCATTGTCTTAGTTTCTCACAAAATATCAAAAGTTAATTATTGTAGCAAATACTGCGGATAGTGGCATTTGAAAATTGTAATGACCAAAAATTTACCGCGGTGTGGTAAAAAACCCCAACTTCCCTTTCCCCGAGTGAAACCTTTGTTTTCAATTTCGAAAAAAATACTGTTATTTGTGTAGACTTTCTTCGACTGTCTCAGCCATAAACAACCTTTTGTTGCTCGCCAGGGTAAAAACAGAGAGGGAAAGAGAAAGATAGCGAGAGATCGAGAAAGAGGGAGACATCAAGAGAGAGAGTCGAGTGCAATCATTTTGAATACCTACATCAGTTCGGGATCGAATCTGTGTAAGAGCGCGCAAAATGCCAAGCCATCCCTCCACGAAGAGTTTAAATTACGCACGCTCACGCCTTTGTAACCGTACGTTTGTTGCTTACACCATTCCAACAGAGCTTCTTTTCCTTTTAAATTTCGTGATCTTGCAGCCTGTCTTGTGGACATGATGCAATCAATAAATAAAATTTCAAAATAATAACTTGGGCAAATTTTTAGTTTGCTAGTGTCTGTCGTGGCGTCAAGATGCTGACTGATGAAATTTGCCTACTTCACTTGGTTTCGTTATGGAAATTTGACGGAAGTTTGTCATAAGCAGGTCTTTTCAGATCTCTCAAGTGAGGTCAGCGTTGATGTTTTTTTCATTATCGCCTTCCTGTGGGTTTTATTACGGCACGCGCGTGCATGTGTTGTCCATAAAACAGCTATATTTGCGGTCTGTTTTATAATCTCTCCAAGGTGGTCTGAAATACTCATTTATCTCAGTCGATCTTTGGTCAGGTAGCGATGTAGAACAACAACTTTGAAGTACCCGATATCAATTGTTTTGAGGGTCATAGAATATCAAATAATTGAAAGATTGCATCTAAAGGCGAAAATACAATTGCTGATGCGATGCTAACAGCCCAACCAACATACTGACAGGTAAAAGATATCGACAGTATATTAAAGCACTAATTTAAAACCTCTTACGCATAACAGGCATAAAATCCTTAATACTAATATGACCTTGGACAGAAAGATGAAAACAACAACAACCTTTAAATCTTAGAAGTTTTGACAATAGACTTTAGTAAGGATAAATGAGCGATGATTGCAATAACAAGTTACTTGCATCTCAACGAAAAGGCCAGCTGGCATGGAATGAATAGAATGTACTGAGTTATTTCCAAAAGGGAAAGTCTTTGTAAAACCCACAAATTGTCCACATTGCCTGGTGTGTTTTCAATCAGTTAGCTTTTTACGTCAGAGAAATCTAATGCAACTCCCAAGTCACTCCTAAGGCTTGAGTTTGGAAATTTATGTCGAACTGTTAAAATGAAACTGACTTATTGTAACTTTCGCTTCGGTATGAAGTACGTTGATTTTTTTTGCGTCGATGCCAACATATTTTTGTAATATCATTGGCAACTTGACTGCAAATTGAAATCGAACCAAGTATAAACCGCTAAAATATTTCTGGACTTTTCGATAATGCGAAAAAAAAAACTGTACATGTTTGACCAAGAAACACGAGTTAGCAGTATTGATTAGATTAAGATAGCAAAGATTCATCAAATGATTTCATGTATTATACGTTATAGAACGCACACAAGAAAGAGGTTTTTTCTATACATGGGGTGCAAATACGTATGATTGAGTGTTTGCTAGTACATATTATTATATGGAGTGACAGTGTTCTTGATAACAATCGCTGGAAACTCCACCGGATACTGTTTGAGTTTATGCCCAGTTTCTTTGTCAGCTCAAAAACCCACAACTGACGAAATTATTTACGTGACTCAAACGCCCCGGAAATCCGAAAAAAACTTGAGTAGTAGTAGTAGTAGTAGTAGCGCAGATCTGGACTGAATTATTTGTAAGGCTTCGATCCAAATGCGAAGGAAGGATTAGGTAACAGAAGAGCTTCAGCGTTTCACATCATCCAGATGCTATTGATTTTTATAAAAAATATGGTTTTTCGTCTCATAAATAGCCTTCGTCTTTCCTTTTTCGGTCTATCTTAAAATATAACCAGCAAGAACAGTTACGCACTCAAATGATTCTGCTTTGCACAATATTGGGCCAAAAAGGGTAGGACGAGAAGCAAAACAGCTCAAAGTGTTTTAAAATCTTTCCGACTTTTTTAAACAATAATTGAAGATGACAGCAGTTGAAACCATTTTACCTCAATCTTTCGCGCCGGAAATCAGGAAAACCTTGCGAAGTCGAAAACTAATCTGGAATTGATTATCTCTAAAGCTACGTCCAAGCACTTGTGTGAATTCGGGATGGCGCGATTAGCAATTAACAACTTAGCGCCGACACCCGTCAAGTGTCTGAATCAACTGTGATTTCCGTAGCCACGTTCACGAGATGCAAAGGAGCCAATCCGTGGCTTAGCTTCAGTAGAAGAGCAAGGAAAATTAAGAAGATATCATGTTACCCTCAGATAACTTTCACTCTCTTTTTCGCTCCCGTGCGCTCGCATAACTTCAAGAATCTCTTTCATAATAATGTAAGAGTTGAGATCAACCCAAATTAAAGAGCCTACTAACATCACACTTACCTCTGGATAAACGTCATTTGAGAACATTAAGATTGCTGTTTTGTCCTTTGAACTTCGTCTGTAGCAAGAGCTTAAATAAAATCTACCAACTTCTAGCTTTCCCAGAAAATCTCTTGAACACTTTCAGGATATTTAAGTTTTCAGGCTATGATTGCCCAAAAGATACATGCTTACATACATATTTAAGTAATCGTGTAAATAATTAAATATACTTTAACAAAGACATGAAGATAAGAACGTTCAGTCCCAGCTTCAAGATAAGACCCTGTAATGAAAGAATATATATATTTTTTTGAGGATTTTTCATAAAGATAACGCTGCCAAAATTCATCAATGATTAAAAACAATAGATTGCGATTCCAACGCTCTCTCCCTCTTAGAAAATTACTGACGCGCAGACTTCTTGGGGAATGAAGGGTGTTAGACTATTAGGAATCCCCTAACAGTACTTGACACGCAAATTGAGAGAACAAAATATTGAGGTATGATAACTGTAAAATTTATTCTAACCAGTCACAACAGTTACATGAATTGTCATCCCTTGGATGATGGGCTACTGGCATTGTATAACAATAACAACGGGAATAGCGGGAAAATGATCTACGCAGTAATGAACACTACTTGAGCAGTAGTGAAAAAAGGGGCCTGAAAAAAATTCAGGCCTGTACAGGATCCCGTACAGGCCTGAATTTTTCTTTTTTCACTCCTGCTCAAGTAGTGTTCATTATTAGTATTGCGAAGATCGCTTTCATATTCACGTCTTCATCCGCAGTTCAAATATATGACTTTCATATAATTACAGTAGTTTAAAAATAACAATGTGACAACATAACAGGAGTGTCAACACCATAAATTATGGACAACTTATCAATCCTAAGCTATTAATCTTAAGCTACTCAAGGAACGGTCATAGATATTAATAATGAATTAATAATAGCTATTAGCAAATGCTAAAACAGTGGATAGCGTTAAAAGCGCTCTGATTGGCTACTTAAACTTCATGTGACAACTCGTGCGGGATTTGGAAACCGAAAGTATAGTAATCGTTGCAGAAATAAATTAGTTAATTAACAATTGGGTCATACGTCAGCGTGCGCTCATCTAGATATGAAGTACGCGGGAAGTCTGGAGAGCACGAAAGATGCGTAAGAGTTGCTCGAGGCGTAGCCTCAACTGATGATAAGGAACCTCCAAACTACCCAAATGCTTCATGTCTCGATGAACGCACAGCTGACGTATGAACCACTTGTTTTATAACCATTTTCAACCCGATGGAAAATTTTTGTCGAAGGATTTGTTTCCTGACGTCATGAGCGTGCACAATAGGAATATGAAGCACGCGCGAGCAACTGAATTTGATCAGATAAATTTACTAGCTATGTTATAAAATCATTTTTTTGTGCTATGTTATCTCGCTCTTTAAGTATATACTAAGACGACTGACCACCAATACTGACGTGAATATTTGTTAATTATTACCTTAAATCTGGAGATTTAAAGGAATTGTCAATTGTATGTGTCTAACCTTTTACTTAAACACATACAATTGCCTTAATCTTTGTGCAAAGGAGATAGAAGAAACTGAACTAAACCTGCTTATAAAAATGTGAAGTCCAAAAGTTCGAAAAAATTCGTAAGATTATCTTAAAGTGATTTAAATCATTTCGTTGCAACACGGGTAAATGTTTTTTTAAATGCTTCACGCGTTTTTTCCAGACTACACCAGACTGCTTTAATCTCTGCTTACGATAATCCAATTTTTTTAGAGATATGATGTAATATTATGCTTTCGTATATGTCACATAGGGAATTAATCCTTTTCGCACGCGCTGATTCGCTAGTTTGGAAGTAATTAAAAAAATCTCACGTCAAGAGTTTAAGTCCCAACCATTTTTTGTAATTTTGACCAAATTTTGATTTCTATGTGGTATATACTCAAACAGTTATTCAGAGTTATTCACCTTTGTGGCTAAGTAAACATCAACCCAAATCACCTCCACTTCTGCTAATAACTGTTAACTATAAACTACATTTGAAAGACACTATGAAACTACCTAATAAATGTAGATACATTTGTATAGTCACTCGAATAGGAAAGGATGACGACACTACTCTCACAGGGGCTCTCTGGCCACCCAGGAATATAACTGGATACATTGTAGCAGCAAATTATCAGGGAATACTGAAAAAGTACATGTCTCAGTGTTATTTGCATTTTAGAAGCGACCCTTGCGTTTTACAAACAAGCAAACCAAACAAGAAATTGGTATTTAGCCAGTTGATGTAAGCTGCCAGAGAGCATAAATATGCCGTACAGCATACTTTGTGAGTAGCCAGCTTTTTTTTTCTTCCGCAAAACCGCTGAGCTGCTTTGAGCGGAGAAACCATGCCCTGTGCAGGTGCAAAACTCAGGACGAGTAGTTGATATCATTGTTCTTTGGTTTTAATGTTGTTTCCTTTAAAAAACCTTATATTAGATAAGATTTTAAACTTTGGCTATACTTCCCTTTGAAGTCAAAGTCAAGATACTATAATTAGAAAGGCCTATGTTTAAGCGTGAAATTACCAGTTTAATTTAGAGATTTCACCCTCATTGATACCCTAAAAATGACCCTACCTTTTTTTTAAAAGGTTAAATTAGGCAAAAAAAAAGTAACAAAATTTTAGTTTTTTTTTTCAAGTCTTAACTAAGAATTTTATCTTCATATCTGACTTTATTTTGTGTTTACTTGTACTCGGTGGAATGCTATTTGGTGGTTCTCTCAAATGTGCACCTGGAAAATGTCCTATATACCCTTCATGGTGCTTTAATCAGGAAAAGAGACATGAGAAGTGGCACATGAAATAAAATGATATCAGTAACATGACATTAAACTAATCTTCATCTACAACCCCCTGATTTATTGTCACTAAGTGGTTGTTTGATGGTCAAAATGTATTTCTACTTAGGTTACTCTTCAGCTGACCTTACATGGTACTTCACCTCAAGCATTAAACTGCCTGATCACATGATCAATAGGGGCCCTGCAAATTGGGCAAGGGTCCCCCCTTTGTTTGAGCACTTGCGCACAGGCATAGCAACAACAGCAGTGTCCTGTGTCACCATGTATGACTGTAGCATTTTTGGGTTGTTCCATGCAAATGATGCACTTGGAATTGTCATCTGTGTCTTCTGGAGAAGCAAGAGTGTTGCCTTTCTCTGTCACAAATGGCAACGGTGAGGCAGACTCACTGTTTGGTGTTGGCGTCAAGCGATTTCTAACAACCCAAGGGTTCTCTTGTGGTTGCCGCCCTTCAAAAAGTAGATTTATGAGTTAATGATCTTGAATGAAACATACAAAATTTCCTGAACATTTAGGCTGTGGGAGGAAAAAAGGTGAAGTGGTAAGTCACCCCCCAGCTTGACAGATGGAGACCCTAAGTAGGTACTGTTTGGAGCTCTTGAGCAAGACATTCCATCCTCATAATGCCTCTCTAGAGCCAGGAGTATAACTGATTACCAGAAATCAGTATGGGAGACGTAACAAAATCAATCACTTGGTTATGAGGACATGAAATTGAAGGAAGTCTCAGTATGTAAATGTGCTATTGCCTAGAATACAGTCATTAAAAGACAGTCATCAAAACAAGTCTGACTTGAGCTTCAATAGGACTACAGGTGTTAGGTTATACTAACTGAGTGTATACAAACCTGTTCTGAGCAGGGCAAATCCCCTATTTCTGCCTAAATGTCCTGGTGATGGGCCTGTTTGATCGGCAGCTAAATAACCACACACAAAAAGAAATTGTCAGAAAACTCAAGTGAAAAAGACATGAGGAAAATCAGAGAAAAAGTTACATGCACAGTATGACTTTCAATGCCTATCTCCACACGGGAATGTTTCAAGTCCTGGCAAATGTCATGGGGACCTTCTGTTTTGAAAAGCTGGGGCTACTTAACCCTTTGACATCTTAGAGTGACCTGCATCTATTTTCTCTTTACCATATCACCCCTGAATCAAGCATCAATTCAATGAGAAGAAAGCACATGATCACCTAGTGTTGAGGATCTTGATTGGTATAATAAATTCTCCTGTCAGTACCATAAGAACTGTATGAAGGACAGTATTGAGAATATACAAACTGATTTTAGGTGAAAAGGAATAACCCTGGACTGGACTGGCCTGCCATCCCATCCAGAGGTGGGGGTTAGGGAGGGGAGGGGAGGGGAGAATTACTCCCTATCATCCTATACTGCTGCAACTGGGATGATAACAAAGGCTCTAATGTAGCAGTGAGAGCCATTTGACTGAAGCAGAAATTCACTTGTTACCTGTATAAGGGCATCTAGGCCTAGCAGTAAAATTGTTTCTGACCTGTTCCTATTGGATATGAATTCTTACCTTCAATTGCTGTACTCATACAGTCATGACAAAGATCAAATTCGCATGTTTGGCAATGCCATGGTTTGTTATCCGTGGGGTTATTGTGCACGGATTCAATAGCGATCACATCGCCAGCCACCACTGAATTGTACATACACATGATGTGAGTCTGCCCTGTATAGCGGGTGTTCATGTAGAGGTGTAGTATGCGGCCTAAAACATTCTTGGCACACATCAAATTCACAATCTCCACAATGATGAGAGAAGCTGAAAGAAAACAGGGAAAACATTACTCAAAACATCAATGCAACACCCTTTCTTGACCATTTTTCTTAGCGAGGTATAAAGACTTGATATGGGATATCACATATCAAAATTTTCACTTACTTTTCATATGGCCTGCTCGTGGTCCCACAGATGTCACAAAACCAGTTTCCACCAGTTTGAGAATAGATTAGTGAAGTGTCAACCACTTTAAGCTCATGAATATGGATAGGATGCCTCTTAGGCTCATAACAGCTGCGGCAAATATCAAAGTCCTCACAAGTTGGGCAGTGGTATGAGAATGTTTCTCTCAGTGCATCACTTGTCTTTTTACAAACATCGCACCGCCAAATTCCGCCCTGATTTTGATAACATAGTCGACTGGTCTCCATGTAATACAGCTGATGCCGATGGATCAAGTTGCTTACCTGATGCTGTATGTTCATACAAGAATAGCACAGGTCGAAAGAACACAGTCTACAGTGGAAGGGAAAAGGGTTCATCCCACCACTCTCAGAATTGCAGTTGTCACACTTCCACCGTCCTCCATATGGTCTATACACTTCCATAGGATTGACCTGCTCCAGGGGATGTTCATGAAGTGGGGAGAGCATCTTTCCACGTTGTTCAATATAATTATGTTTATGGTTAAATACCTGCAAAGAACAGTTTTCCATTTCATCTAATATTCTCACAGAGAAATATGATTTATTAAATAAAACAAACACAATAATCAATATTTTGCAAATGAGAGAATTTTCCCACATAGATATTTTTTGATCAAATCTTTGGAATATTTCTGTTACTTTACACTTTTCTCTTGTTCATTTCAAATGACAAATTCAAATGAATTCATAGAAGAGAGAACTTAGAAAAGTGGTACAAAGTGACGACTTGAAATGATTTGGTTTGCTATCAAGCTATTTGGTAAAAGACAAATAACAACATACCGAGGATTCCCCATTCCAATGGCATCAAAAATTCTTACCTCACTGACTCTAATGATCACCTCCATTGTGTTAAAATAAAAATATTGCTATGTCAATTATATGTTAATTTTGAATCAACTTCTTGAGGATCTCACTAATGGTTCAATATATTCACCATATGCACTGTGTAGTGTATGTCTAGCTGAATTCAAAAGGTTCTGTGGTTATTAAGATCATTTATCAAATATTTCAGAATCATGCCTGTTTCAGAGTCTTACAAAAAGTAAAACAGAGAACTGAAATATTTAAATAGTTCATGATGACATCATGTTGACAACATTTCAGTTTAAAATGACTAATTATATGTACCAATGACCCATGGGCAACCTTCCAAAATATTCACAACCATTACAAAATTTTATAAAAACCAGAACAATTTATTAGAGACAAATATGACTTGTAAACTGTTATAAAGACAGCAGTTGCTACCATCACACATAGAGGAAATTGCATTAAGTATCTCCTCGAACATCCTGCTCTGCACTCACCTATGAAAATCACAAATTTTATTATATTTGTGAGAGTGCAGACACAACTAGTGAAACGAAATCTAGTGGACTAGCACGGCTCCAGTGAAAACGGTGAAATCTTCAAAAGTTGCAAACTATGGCTGGTTAGTGAAATTATTTTAAAAAGTTTGCTAAAGCATCAATAATGTGAATTGTAGGAGAGCAAAGACCTCTGTTAGTAGATTCATTTGATCTCTTTCTTTTTCCTGCCATGGTAGTTCTGGGAATATAACTTAGACACTTTTTTTACCCCTGACATGCCAGTTCGACCAAGGGATGAGTCACAGGATATATGTAAAACTGAAATACCCAGTAATTTTAACAATATCAATAATTCTTTCAGTCTGTCAGTTCCCACTGATATGAGGGCATTGCTTGTTCTGGTCATGCAATTAGGTTGGCTGACTTGTATGAAATTGAGAAGAAGTCGTCCCTTCTTTAATAATTTTTTGTTCAAGATCCTCGATAGAGGGACTACGAGTAGTAAGTATCATAAACTAATCATGTTACTTTTATCGTAAAATATTGAAATCTTAGCTTTTACGTTTTGCCATGGCAATTACAGGTTTTCATTCTATGACTAAAATTCATAGAATTGATCCAATTATGCTCAAATTGAAAAGACGTATTCCTGTTCCTAATTTAACGTTGAGAAGGGTTCTGAAACTCTGATAAGCAGTCGAATTACATTAAACGTTTATTATTAAAGGGTATGCGATGACTGAGTGAAAAATTCTACCTCAGTTTGTCAAACATATCTTTAAGTTGGATGATAACTTATCTATTCAAACTTTTTACACTGACGCAGCAGTTACTAGGGACAACATCATCACCGCGATTGACAAAGAGCATTCTTAAGATTAAATTTGAGCTTGTGCTTATTTAAGCTAAAGCATTGCTGAAATATTTTTCAGTTATTTTTCGTTTGCATGGCATTCAAAACATAGAAAAGAAAACCAAGTAGTAACTTTGTCTAAGTAATAGAGTTTCGGTAAAGTGGAAGTAAAAAGTCTTTACGGGCTAACCGACCGACGAACGAGGCTTCGAAAAAACAACCGCCATCTTGAAATATTCTTACCTTTCACTTGCGTTATTGCACTTTTCATTCTGTTTGATGAATGATGGAGATCTAGCAAATTCATAGCAGTTAAAGGAAAACTAGTCGCTTAGTACGTGACTGGCAGGTGTTTAAGACAATTCCGTAGAAATCTTAGTGTCGGGAGCTTCCCTCACACGTTCATATCCTGTGATGCTATAACAAACTGAATTTATCACAAAGGGGCGGCCCCCAGACTGGGGGGGGGAAAGAGGGGGGGGGGAGCGGACAAAAAAGAGACTTCGGCTTTTCAGCATGGTTGAGGAAATTTTAATCACAATTTTTTCGATAAATTCGGAGGCTAATAAACCTTTGGAATTTATAACCATTACTTTCGCTATGTATAAGCTCTCAACGGTGGGTATTCAATTTAAATGATTCTTTGCACGGCCAAACTCCCGTGGGGACCCGAAGGAGGGAAATTTCCCAGTTTGTAGTTCCAGGCTTTCGGACTAGGATAGTTTTCCCGAAGGAACAGTTTCGTTTCAGAGGGCAGCCAGGAGTTTGCGAGAATGTCCTTACCTAAGATTGCGTTGACATATTTTTTTTTGTTTGGCGTCGGTTAAATTTGCTCTTGATTTAAAAATAATCAGACCGTGAAAGCTAAACATCAAGTTAAATCTGTCTCAGTACGCTTGATATTTTGATGAAATTATCTGCCACTTTAAAACTTGGAAATAAACACAACGAGGGGAAAAACCGCAGGGGGAGGCTTAATCCACCAGGTATTTGGTAGTTGTCGAAATAAATGTTTAGAAAAATTTTCCGCATATATTTTGTAAACGGTGGGAAAGATGTCATACTCACTTCTTGTCTATAGAAACTGACGATATATATGCTCTTCCTTCTTTCGATCTTTACCCGGAGCTCGGGAAGCCCTCGGTGAGTCTTCGGTAAGTCTTTAAGGGTCGGCTGTCATGTGCCAAACCTAACTTATGTCAGGTGGTAACCACTTGGAAACATGATGATTTCGAATGTCACGCTTCCTGCCTGAATTACATTTACGCTAACTTTCAAACAAGTTATGGTTAGCTGGAAGAGCTAATTTTTTCAAAAGGCTATTTTTATTTACTTTTTTATTTCTACTACAGTAAAACAATAATAAAATTCTAGAAATAATATGAAGATATTCTAAACATCAATATTTTATACTAGGGACGTATATATAGAAGCTTCCAATTTAACATGAATTGTTCTATTGCCATAGCCTGCGCTCCGGGAACTTGGAGACAGCGCGAGTAAGACGTGCACGCGAAAAAGCAGATACGCTAAGCGCGTGCTCGCGTGGCTTTCTCCTCGCGTGGCTTTCTCCTCGCGTGGCTTTCTCCTCGCGTGTGTGGGCCTAAATCATTCGCGCAGGCCACAGTAGTCATATCTGCGCCGAAACCTTTCTTTTTTCAGCGGTTCGTCGAAATTAGGGGTTTAAAAAGTCTTTATCTCACCGTGGTAGAGAAAAATTTTACTAAACCTTCACGTTACAAAAAAGTGAAATAAGTCATAGTCAAATGATATCATAAAAAGTTTTACTAGCACGACTTAAGAGCTTAACATTCCGCGAGGCCCACGTCAAGCCACCGTTCACTCAGCTTAGTGACCTAGTTATTACACATTTATACAGTTATAGGAATCATTTGCTTATCTTCATTAGCTCATTTTAAGTTGATTTGATACAACCCGATCCTTTCCGAAGAAGCCCGAGGAAGTTCCGAAGATATTTTTGAAGTTCTGACACAGCTACCTCTCTGGTGGCTTCCTCTCTGAAATCGGATATTTCGGGAGATGTACGATCATAAACAAAGACCGATCTTTTGTTGGTTTGTTTTTCGGGCTTCCTTTCTTTTTACACTTTCAATTTATTGTTATGGCTGAGGTGACTCCGAATATTTCTTCCCGCGTGAAAAATTGGTCGGTAAGTGTGAGCTGGTAAAAGTGATAAAAGAGAAGCATTTTCTATCCGCAAACCAAGCCCTTACTTCCAAGGCATGAAAACTTGTTCTCCACTCATACAAAATACACCAAGACAATCCAATAAACTAGATTAAAAATTGTGAAAGCAATGACGAAAGCTATCCTCGCTATAATTTCCACGTCTTTGGAATTGATTTCTTTGCTGTCTGGTGGCGATGAAGTATCCTTTGGAGACTCTTTGCATGGCGAGTGAGTCTGTGCTTCTTCCATCGAATACAGCCCACCTCTATAGCACGAGTAATCACTTGTCAAACTGCAGTAAGTTTCTTGCAGATTATCCTTCTGTAGAAATGGTGCCTTGAGCAATAAAATACTCCTCTGGAAATATCAGATAGAGAAAATTTCAATGCAAAACTTTACTTTCGATAATAACACGCTTCTAAAGTTGAAAGATTTATATGAGTGCTCTCCAAACCTACTAGACGCTTCAAATCTCAATGAACGCACACCTGAGGTAAGAAATAATTGTCCATAAGATATTAACGCGGTGCTTAAAGAAATTCCTTATGTTATGATCTATCACGCACATTCATGCCATCAACGTGCGCAGTAGTAAAACGAAGTAAGCACGCGCAGTTTAATATAATTACACGAATTTACAAGCTTAGTATGAGTGCCTTTTCAATACCTTTGCCCTTCCCTTGTGTATCAAGATAATGTACTCCAACATGGTGCACAGAACGAAGAAGAAAGATGTCATGAGATAGATGTCGATAGCTTTCACATACGAAACTCTTGGCATAGTGGAGTTGACAGAGCCCCAGATGGTAGCGACTGTCAAAAGAGTCGTGATACACAACCCCACCCGGGCAGGGGTGGCTTTGCTGTCGACGAACAGGGACATCCAGGCCACAAACACCACTGCTATACAAGGGACGTAAATCTGTATCAAGTAAAAACCCATCCTTCTTTTAAATGTGAAAGTCGCCTGAAGAACTGAATACTCCCCTGGTTGGAATAGAAAAATGAATTCATGAAATTAGATAACTTGTCAAGGGAGAAAAGTAGGTCAAGATTGCTTCTCTCTCTACGATTGGTCTAAACTTCTTGCTCTACCTACTCGACCAATCGGATTAAGAACGAGTAAAACCAATTGCGACTCGTGAGTCAATCGCGTTTTCCCGGGCTTCGCACATTTTACCTGTTTTTTATGTGATGTCTTACTTTGTCTGTTGCGGTTTCTTTAGCGTTATTTTAACAAAACTAAACTAAGTTTCGCCTTACCGACCACCCGGCAATAATGACTATATCCTGGCACTCTAATGTGTGAAGCTGAGTTCTAGAACTCTCCCTGTTTCATGTTGCTCACGAAAAACCATTCACTGGATGAGATGTATGTTAGAACGTCGAGATGAAAATATTCCTATAAATTTAGAAATGCTCCATGATAATATACCACCAGAGATTTATTTTCTGATTTTCCTAAAGTTTTGTGTAAGTTACTAAAAAAGCTTTGAAAGAGAGTAAACGCTGGCGACGAGCGTGCCTGCGCACCCGAACAGCTTCGATGCGCCCTATGACTTGACTTACCAGCAACGTACTGGACTCGTTGTTCAGCGGTAGTCATGTTTGTCATGTAAAACTGCGCCATTTCCTTGTCCAAGACAATGACCCCTGGGTTGGACTTCCAGGTGAAAATTAGATGGTTCGTAGGATAGGCATCTGTAAAAATGCATTTAGTTATGAAAATTATTATTATACGGAAAGACGTCCTTGTTTGTAGCCTGATCCGTTTTCATTTCAGAAAGGTTTGAAGCTCATATTCCACGGTCTACGATATTTAGTGAGGTAACATCGAAGAAAAAAAGGAAAACAAAAAAAAACAAAAGCAAAAAAAAAAAAAAAAACGATGTTACTGAGTCAAACCACCGATTTTACGTAATTTCAGGTTTTCTGTCCGATTTGGTTCGATGGGAAAGGTGGGGAAAATTCACCCCATCATCGGGTCCTCGCGTTCCAATCTACTCCTGTTTTCTTGTCAGTCACGCACACTACCAATAATCGTAAAAACTGTGGAGCACTTACAGCTCACAATACTTAGGGAGCAAGTTTGTTCATCCATGGGAAATGTACGGAAATTCATGTGGCACCTTGCTGTCAGAGTTGCTCTGAAATAAAAGAGGACAAGAAAAGCGTCAGATCTGTCATCTTTATCATATTTCCATGCCATGTGGTGGGATTCGGATAGGTACTTAGTAGCTTTCACTGAATAGGAATAACTTATTCCATCCAACCGCTAAACAAGAAAATGTCAATAAAGGCAGAGGGGCCACCATTCTTGCCCAGTTCGAAAAACCTGCTTTGCATGGCGATGGATACTTTTTTTGAGTCATGATCATATCAGCTTCACCCGGTTTCCGTGGCATAAGGTCCGTAACATAAGGTCACTGGAAGTGTTATATCTCCCCCTTAGATGAGATGTTAGTTCATGGCAGGTTCCCTTAGGTATTTCGTCAGCTTTCCATGACAGTTCGTTAGTGAATCCATTTATGACCATTTATACTCCAAATTGAAGAGAAGTGCTTCGGAAGTACAGTGACTAAGTCTCGAACCAGGACTTCTCGGCCTAGAGTCCAACGTGTTAACCGCTAAGTCAATGCGTCTCCATAAACAGTTCTTTTTCTTTTCATTCTTTTTTCAACATTTCAGTTCGTATTGTAAAGGTGTGGAGGCACAAAAGACGTCGATTCTGGAACTGAAATATGCCCAAGAAGGAACCTAGTAGCTTTAAAATTATCATTACGGCGTAGTATTTCATTATCTGAATTACAATTTCAACCAGAGATCTACAGTGCCATGCCAGGTAGCGCCAGAATGAGTGAGCTCTCGCTCTTGAAAAGAGGCATATTCATGTAAAGTTACACAGGACATACCTTGTTCCCCAGTTTACCTCTCCTTTTGCAGAAATATCCACTTTGTGATTTGTAGCAAGGACATTGTGCATGTAAGATTTAGTAGCGTCTACAAACATTGTGTCTGGAACCCAGATGTAGTCTGCTGGGTGTTTCGTCCCCATTGTAAGGGTCATCATCGTTGTCATATTATGACTGAGCCTCTTGTCTTGCCAACGTTGGCGGAAGAACATGTCCAGTCCAAATTCCTGAAGATACAGCATCATATTAAATAAAATGTAATATTGAGTGTGGACATCTGTCCTCGATTGTATTATTTAGTTTTAACCTTTTACACGAACGTGATTTGAAGACAAAAACTTGTGCCTCTCTCAACCAAGCAGACGCAAAGTTAAAGCTCATGGCTCGAAGCTTTGTTGTTGTTTCGAAAAACACGTTCCCCTTGCACTTCTTCTTTCCCAGTTACCAAATAAACAGTAAACAGTAGCAAAAACTTGGCTGAAAGCTTGCCCGTGGTTGTTCGATATGTACAGTTACGATAGGTCTTTTATTATGACCTGCAAAGGTTTTCTGGAAAGGTTTGTAGCTCTGACCTCCTCGACATTGATCATTCAACGGTTATGCAATAGAAAATTTTTCGAAAAACAGGAGCTAAATTTTGACCGCAATAATACCTTCTGACTAACTCCAAAATTTTGCACTGGCCGGGAATCGAACCCGGGCCTCCCGCGTGGCAGGCGAGAATTCTACCACTGAACCACCAGTGCTTCAATAGAATAATAGAAATCTTTAATTTGGCCTTTGCTTTTAGATTTCGAATCTATTCCAATTATCAGCAAGTTCATAGAGACGTTTGATGGCTGAGTGAAACGATTTCAGTTGAGAATCCTATCCACATACCAGAAGGAATGTTTTAAGAAGCTTGACTTCCATAGTGGCACCTCCCAAAATGTTAATCTGAGGTTTTTTGCTTTGTTTGTTTGTTTTTTTCTTTTGATTTTTGTATTATTAGTTAATATCCTCTCGTATTTGTAGTGTACACGTGGCCAAAATTTTCGCATCTCAGATTTAAGGTTTAATTTCAAAATGTTAGGTTTCCCTTAAAAATCTCGAAACATGGCGAGTGTCTCCTTTATTTTCATATATTCCTGTATATTTTCTTGGTATTCCAGGAGAATGATTCTCTTTTTAATACCAATTAAGGTCAATTTGAGAATTTTAAGAGGCGAAAAGGTAAAGACAGGCAGCTGTTCAGGTACTATAGTAAATCGCTCGATACCATAAAATTCCACTGACTGCATATTTACCATTTCCACTTCTCTGATATTTGCAAAGGACGCCACCGAGAAATCAACAAGGATTTCGACTGGACGACCTGCAACAAAATGAAAGTCAACTTAACTGAGGTGAAATGAACAGCAAGCTGTTTGGGTTGCACCGAATCACGGATAATCTGTGTCTTTATTACAATGTCTACCCTTTCGAAAGGTACGTAAAACCATGTTTTACGCGAGCGGATAAAGACCTGTTTGAACATTTCCTCACTGCCTTTTCTGAACCTTTTGTAAAACCATGAGGATTATAACTGGTGCTATTTTTATGTCGAATTTACTCAGGATTGATAGAAACGTTGACGCTATCACGGGTAAATTTTGTTGTTGTTTGGCTTTTAAAATCTATCTTTAAAAAAACTTGAAAATATTAACCTAAGTTGTTATTTTGATTTTCGTTTAAAGTAGCAAAATTTCTACCTTCCAGATGAAATATTACTCTGCCGCAGATTTTTTGAACGTGTAGACAATCTTTATGAAGAAAACAATTCAATAACCACTAATATGACTTGATTTCACCGACCTCTTCGTTCAGATTTGAAGTTCAGCCACTATTACCTTAAGCTAGGCATCTCTCAATCATCGAATGAAAATATAGGCAAAGCATTAAAGCCTTAGAATTAACAGAAAAAAAGTAGTTTAAGTGTTTACCTGTGTAATTTGGCCTGATTCGAGAATCATAATTATTCAGTAAATGTCGTAGGTCCTTCGCTAACTGCTGGTCAGTAGAAGCAAAAGATTCAGTCCTGCGTAAAAATGATTCACGAGATGAGCGAAAACGGCGAGAAATTAATTTGATAACGGGTTGCACCCAGTGCCGGTCAACTCATTCAAATACCTTGCAAAGAATCTGTTACTGCATTTACAGAGTCTTCCTGTATAGGAAAGCGAAATTCCACAATCCCCCCCCCCCCCACCTTCTATTCCGTGGTTTTACTTTTCCTCTCCTCCCTTCCGACTTAAAGAAAAACGAGCTCATTCTAACAGTTCGAGTAACCATGGCTGTAAAGGCAGGTATTAATAATTAATCTCGGTAGTAATTGCTTATTACACAGTGAGGATGTTTGTTAGAAATCCAAGTACGTCCTACTTGCCTTTGAAAACCGTGAGACTTTCCGCAGAGGATAATGGTCAAGAGAGCTATTCTCATTAGAAGACCAAAGCTGACCTCTCTTGTGTTTGAAAGTCCCATCATCGCCTTCGATCCGTTGGTTTTACAGACTAAAAGTAAAAATAACCAACTTAAATCAAAATGCGAATGAATTGTCAATATTCAAACGTAAGAAATAATGTTACGATTTTTCTAATGAACAGAAGCAGAGAAGCTCATGACGAAAAGCAAGATCTTAGGTTAGAGCAAATCAAGTAAAGGCGATTAAAATAATTTCAAAGCCCTTCACCGTCGGCAAAACGTATTCAGACAGATTAGTGTGCAGACAACTGAAATGCAGGTACAATAACTAAGAGAGGTGTTTTGCTTTATGACGTTAACATATATGTGAACTCAATTGTTTGGGTGGAGACTTGAAATGTTTTTCCTGCCCTCATGCAAATGACAAAGTCTTTTTTTTTTTCGACTAAAGAGGGTCAAAAACTCCCGTATTAACCGCTTTAGTCTATTTTCCAATAATTATTACTTTACGTTATGTTAATAAAGTTTCTTTTTTCATTGATTAAATTTCAGATTTACCTCTCTTGGATGAACTTAATTTTCACTCTGCCACACTCTTCGATAGTCTCAGCGACCCACTGCAGACAAGTGCTTAAATACTTTGATGTTTTCTAACGCCTTTACGTGCGTTTTGACTGCCACATCTGCTGATAGCATGAGGGCAGGATAAGATCTGTGTCAGTTCCTTCTCACCTCATATTAAATATTGAAGACCTTTTGCATATAAATGGGAAGGGAATAAGGGTCTTTTGTAACAAAGATGATCAAAAGTAAGGAGATTTTATCGAGGAAATTGAGTCACGCTCTCAAAGTTCACTCCATGGAAAGATAATATCGATATCTTCATGGAAAAAAATTTTTTTGGCACAATTTTTTTCACAATCTAAGCTCGGCGAGAAAGCTTTTCAGTATGCAGATCTTCTTAAGGTTAAAGGACGGTGTGGGTAACACCCTTGAAACCTGAGGCAGTTGTCATTCGAAAACGATTTCGCGCTTAATTTATTATAAGCTGGCGAGCAAATGAAAAACTCGGTGTTTAATAGATTCGTTGTTCCTGGGTTATGTGGTAATAATGAAATAATAAGTATTTTGAAAATGTTTCTAGATGTATGATATCGATCGCAGCTAATAGGCTGCGGTGGATTAAAACGGGAATGCCTCAGACTATATAAATGATTTTCGTGATGATAGGGAACATTCTTATTTACTGCACGCATATCTTCAGTAAATGCTCGCGCAACGAACGTCACACGCTTATACACGTCCAGGATTTGCTATGAATCTTTTTGTTAGTTGTGGATGTAGTATTTTTCATCTCAGCTACTTTCTGTTTCAATCTACGAACCGGTTTTTCCAAAATTTTGTACGTTTATTTTTGCGAAAACTCGATGGGTTTTGTATTTTTGTTGGTTTGCGGTTTTTCACACTTAATTCACCTGATCAAATTTTGGTAGGTACACCCGAAAAAACTGTCTTTGACGTATGCAATGGGTAGATTTTCAATCAAAGTTCAAAATGAAGACAGTCTTAGACTGTATGCACAATGGGGCATGTCAAATGCAGATCTGTGAAAATGGATCTCTTCTTCCGAAAGAGTTGTATAGATACTGCATATAAAATTTCCCAGCAGTTGTTAAAGCTACGAACTCTTACTTCAAAAAGACGAGCTTTAAACAAGAAGTTCTCCTTTTTTATTCCTGAAGGCTCGTTGCAAGCTGTGATTTGGATGTAAGTCTAGTCTCTGTATTACATTATCCATATTTTTAACGTGCTCTTGGAAACCAATATAAAAGGCTACTTAAATAAATAATCCAATCTGAATTCTGAACAGATTAGTTGGTATATGAATTTCGTAACGAATTTTCAATTAAGAGATTTAACGCCAGAGAAACCATCTACAAAAAAACGAAATAAGAGACTTACGAATTCTTTTTGATGACATTGTTTGAATTAAAAAAACCGCAAATCAACCGCCTTAAGGCCAGCTCAGGAGGGTTTTTTTTGAACAGCCGGTTAAGAGTGGTTTTGGTGGTTACATTTAGTCACGGGCATGGAGAATCGGATAATGTTTTTTGATAAACGAGAACTATTTTCCTCCTTCTTCTCGCGGCTTAAAGATCCGTCTTTGTCAGAGATGACCAACCAGCTGTATTCGTCGTTCGTTTAATTTTTTTTCAATGAGAAAGGGGGGAATTATTAGAAATGAGGTGCCGCGGGCTCGCCAAATCCAGACTCTATTTCAGAGCCATACATATCATTTTCCACACCTTTATTGAGAGCTGACCTCGAAAATCCACCCCCCCCCCCCTTTTAGTTGTTGCTTCTAAATGTCGTTTTTGTTTACTTGTTTATGAGCCAGTGGTCTTTATAACAGCGTGTTTGAGCTTTGCATCAGAGCCTGTAAGTGACATATCAAAGACCAAACCTAACCCAAGGTCAATTAGTTTTTAGAATGATAGTTCCTTGTACGTGTGTACGACATTCTCCCCTTTGCTCTGTATCGTGACCCTCCACGGTCTCACCCGCCTTATCCTCGACGTTTTAGCACGTCGATCTTCAGTCGGCTATGCGCTAACATTTTGGTCACAAAACATGTAACAGCTTGAAGACACAATTCCTGCCCTGAGGGTTTTGCGACCGCGACACTTCAGCTCTTAGATAGATTGAGCTGTTGTCTTCTATATATAGATCAAAACTGATATTTTGTAAACCACAGAAACGATTATCTTATATATACGTAATATCAATAAGAGGAAAGTTTAACCTAATTTGTTTCGGGGACGCTTCTAGTTGTACCACCTTTTACTACATTATCTCTAAATAATGCAGAATGTTTTCACATTCAGATAATATGCAATTGAATAGTCTAGTTTGCCGATTTTTAAGTTTTTATACTAAAGGTCGACGTTTGTTAAATGCGTGATTCACCCCTTTGTTGAATTTATATAATGAATTTATTTATTATTTATTCTTAACCTCAATTATCTTCAAATTTTATGTAGAGTAAACCAGATCAGTGTTAAAAAACAAATAAGAAATAAATTAAGTAAATAAATAATTTGTCAGTTTTCGTCAACGCTTACGAAAAAGTGAGAGGATAAAAGAATAACCGAAAAAGCAGAGCATTTAGATGGTTTTAACAACTTAAAGATCCATTTAGCTAAATTACTTGTAAAAAGAATTGCAGTCCGCGCGGAGTCGTTATAATTTGCGTCCCTTTTACGGCGCAGGAAAACTATATTTAAATTTATTTAAATAGAAATATATCTCTAGATACATGTAATACATGGAAGACAAGCGTAAACAAATTTTCAACTGGTTAGAATTAGAAGAATCAGAAAATATAAACACACAAACAAACAAACAAACATTAAAACGACAATCACGGTGATTTTTAAGGTTGAAACGAAACACAAATGGAGAATCTACTTGATAAACGTACTTTTGGATATGCATAGGACACCAAGAGGTTTTAACTCAAGTAACCATCAGTGTTGACAGGGTAGGTAACAATCTCACCTCCATGTTTTCCCAGGAGGAAGCATTTAGGAACAATGGTCGCACTTAATTGAAAATTCTGTTTTTATCATCACATGGACTTCGCACTTTTTTTTTTTTAAAGTATTTTGTTTATCCCTGAAATTAGTGTTAATGTCAATTTTTAATTATTTGTGCTTAAGGTTAGTAGCATTTGCTATTCAAAGAAGTTTTAAAGACTGAGCAGTCTCTATACATAATTTTGTAAAACTGTTTCGATTTTAGTGACAAATGACCAGTTCTTGCGATTGAAGATAATCTTGTAAAATCCAATGTTTTGTTAAATGCATTAGCGACTTTGTACGAAGAAATATTATTTCTATTACTAATTTATTTTGAGCCCAACTTTATTTTGGCATGATTTCTACGGTTTTTGTTTAAATGCAAAACTGAAAAGATATCAAGCTGTTAATATGATAAATAATGTTCGAGCCAAATTGAATAAAGTAGAAAGAAAATTTAGAGCAGTCATCATTAAATCTCTATTTTCCTTGTGGTTTCCACACAGCAGTTATTGACTTAAGCCGTGAAAAGAACTGCACACGTTAGGGCTGAAACAATAGCAAAAGTGTTTGAGTCAAGCAGTTAAATCTTAATGATGTTTTAATGCTTACAGTGTTTGAGTCATGCGGCTACATCATAGTGTTATTCTTCCATATCGTTTGTGTCAGTCCATTTTTTTTCTCGATAAATTTTGGATTTGCATCATAATCCTAAACCACATGAGTAGCAAAGGCAAATTCAATAACAGATGTGACCATATTTTTTTGTTATTGTTTTTTATTGCCAAAAAAATTGAACTTGGTAGACGGGAAAACCTAGTTTCCAATAATGTGGTTCACTTTGAGTTGTTTTTCTCTTAATGGTATTGAGATTAAATCAGAGTCATTTTCAAAAGCCTGATTGTTATGTTTTGAAAGCTCGTTAATTTTTCGCATTGAGAACTGATTGAAATAACCCCATTGAGAAATTTCAGGTTAATGGAACATTTCAACTTCTTACAAATTTCTTTTCATTAACTCGTCCAACAGATGTTTGCTGCACGTAACTTTTCATGATAATTGTGAATATTTAAAAAACTGGATTTTGTTATTTTACGCTTACAGCGGTTATAAAAAAAAACTTGAAAAAAGTAACTGAAAAAAATAATGACACATTTATTTCTTTAGCTGGATAGAAATAGACGTTATTGATAATAGGTAATGTTAATTGGTGGAGCCAAAGTGATAGAATAACACAAGTTATGGGCAACAATCTCGTCACAGAAATTCTTTTTTACTTTGCGAATGCACTGCAATTATAAGCAAGGAACTGATTCTTCCGCCTAAATTAGTCTGATTCTGATTTCAAATTAACTATGCGGTTTGTCTTTAAGCTAGATCTTGTGAAATCCGTCATAACAAATTCAAAATACGACATGATCTCGACTTCAATGGATTTTGCGGGAAAAAATCTTACAGAGAGAAAACTTGGATATTATCTTACCTCAGGCTCTGAAGAATCTTCAAACAAGGCTATTGCTGAAAGCTATGAACCTGCGCTTCTTTTTGCTAATCGAGAACAGGCTCGAACTGTGTTGTCAATCAGAGAAACAATGGGAGTTTTCAAAAGCGTGACAGTGACCAAGCGGCTTGCGTTACCGCTGTCAATCAAAGAAACAATGGGATTTTTCAGAAACGTGACAGTGACCAAACGACTTTCGTTTCCGCTGTCAATCAAAGAAACAATGGGATTTTTTCAAAAGCGTGGCATTGACTAAGTAACTTGCGTTACCGCATGAGGGTGTTGTGTGAAATGGCTGTGTCACGTGTTTAGTTCAGCTGTGCTGCTAATTTCCGTTACGAAAGAATTTTAAAAACTTATACAGTTATTCTCATTGGTCGATAGGTGTGCTTAGATGAGAACATGAAAACACTTTCTCTTCTCGCTGAGATATATTTTAAAAAAAGCAATAAAGGACTTCTTTCCGTGTTTACAAAATCTCATTTGATCCTGCGTCTCAGGTCTGCTTACTCTTCTTATTCTGCCAAATCCCCTTGAGGTGTGGACGAGGTAAATTAAACACGAAAATAAGTCCTGTGTTCCTTAAAATTCGAAAACGAGACCAGTATAGATGTTACAACAAGTTAAAGAAAATGCGTTGTCGCCTTTACCTTTACTTGAATTTTTAACTCTTCTTTTCCTTTTGTTTTGTTTTTTCCTCTTTCTTAAGAGCTTGCTGATGGGTGTCATAATTTTCGGAAACAAAAATGACGCGGAAATGTTTGGCGCCTAAAGGTGAGGGACTGCCATCTTATATGACGTCAGTATCAGAACATAACTTTTATCAGCCTCGCATCTTTACAAGCCTCGAAGGGTCGACAGTAAACCTATAGGGCCTTTTGACGGTTAGATTTTGGGGCTTTTGTTTGTTACATGGATTTAAAATGATTTTCTCTATATAATCTTAAATCGAGTTGAAGTTTTTCACTCGTTGATATGTAGTATGAACTACATCTAAACTCATTTATTCTGCCTCTGATAAAGTGAAGTGGAACGTAATTCGAAAATTCATAGATTATTTGTTTGAAACAATACCTTTACTCTTGGTATAATAGTGCTGAGAGTGCATTAGCTGATCTTTGCAGAGCTGATTCTTCTAATTCATAGCATGATTGTGTGTTCAGAGAGCGAACGGACTAGAAACCGCGGGGAATTCACTGAACGAGCATACAGGGGTTTGCTTCACACTAACACGCTCCAGAGGATGAATAAATATAACACAAAAACAAAATAATTAAACGGCTAGCGAAAGACTATAATGATAATTACCTCAAACTTTACTCACATTTCACACCATACTGTGAGGCATTGTTCTTTGACACTCCTGATTCAAAAACACATTGCAAGGGGCCTATATTTTAAAACACGTCTCACCGTTTGAATTACTCTTTCCGCTAAAGGAAAACAGTTTTGGTGGCTTCAAGTCGAATTCCTGCTGGGTCGTTGTGTTGTAATTTTCTGTTTTCCCTTTCAGTAGTTTTACCAGCCAGTGCAGCTTGAGCTCAATTGAACCGGGCCGAAATTTGGTAACCAAGTTGTTGATAACAAAGATGTCAATAAAATGCTGAAATCCCCAATGTTTTCTTTGTTTACCCTGTTAACAACTCTTTATCTATATTGCTGAATTGTTTTTCAGTCTGCTGTACGATAGAAACTAACGAACGCTTTCAGGATGCTCCACATGATCTGAAACTTATTGGTAATCGAACGGCGGGAATGATGCCGCGTGGCGTGGTCAGAACCAAGTTATCAATACAATAATCTATTTTGAAACATTCAAACATCAAATTGAATATTCATATTGTCATTGTAAATCTTAATGTAAATGTCAGTGAAAATGACGATAAAATGAATCGATTTGGAAACCTGGAGACTGGTTTACCGGCGCAAACATTCTTAGATATATAGAACTGCTCGTGGCAAGCGGCATAATCCATGTTGCTAAGCAACCAGCGATATACGGAAGGATTTTTTTTATGTAAAGGGTCATTGTAAATTTATAAAACATTAAAACTATAAGACTTTTCAGATGATACAATGATTAACATAGTGTACGATGTCATTTATTTGTTCTTGAATTGAAATTTGTACAATTTATAGATAATTCCTTGTCTTGTGTGATTCTACAGGAAAGAAGACGTTGCTTATCAATACTACAGTTTGTAAATAATGAGTAGCTCTTTAATGGCAGTCTTGTTTGACAACTCAATTTTTGTTCGTTAGATAGTCTTAAACATAACTCTAAGTTAATCTATAACAAATTCTTCCACTGACTTGTTTTTGAAACGAAATTCTAAAGTGCATTTGCCACTTTTGCCCAGGTTATAAATTTCCATTTAAGAGAAATATATGACGTCATTTCATTTCTTGAATATCCTCTTTGTCTTCATTTCCATCTTCCTCTGTGCTTTTTACATCAGATAGTTCCCTTTTCGATGATTTTGAGACTTTTTCGATTTCACGACCCCATAGTCCCGGGGGTCCATTTCGCAATCCCCTGCCCCAGAGTCCTGGAGGGCCATTTTTTAGTTCCCGTTCCCAAAGACCTACGGCTCCACTTCGCAATCCCCGACCCCAGAGTCCCGGGGGTCCATTTTTAATTTCCCGACCCCACAGCCCTGGCGGTCCATTTGCGTTTTTACGGCCCAGAGCTGAAGTTCCTCTAGCTTCACGTCCCCAAAGACCTGGGGGACCGTTCTTTAATCCCCTTCCCCATAGACCCGGAGGACCGTTATCCAATCCCCTTCCCCATAGACCTGGAGGACCATTATTTAGTCCCCTACCCCAGAGACCCGGAGGACCGTTATTTAATTCCCGTCCCCAAAGACCCGGGGGACCATTTTCAATACCCCTACCCCAGAGATCTGCAGGGCCGTCTTTTATTTCTCGTCGTTTCGCCATGTTCCGTGCTGATAAAACCGATGGACTATCGTCTTGTTCTCGGTCTTCCGATTCGTCGGCTTGCTCGGGACTAGACGGTAAATCGTTGTCAATTTTTTGCACTTGGTTTTCATTCTCGATGGATCGTTCCCACACTCCGGGCAAATCGTCTTCTCTTTTATTGCTGTGGGATTCTGAAAGACGCTGCATATCATCAACTTCTGTGTTAAACGTTTCTTTTTCCGCGCTGTTTCGCTGTTTCCTTGTTTCATCTCGTGCGTCTTTTCGCTCATGGAGCGCACCTATAGCGCTGTCCTCATCCGTAACTTCGAATTGTCGAGCGTTACACATCGCCGAAAAAATCAAAAAGAAGACGGTGACTTTAAAAGCTGGCATTCTGGAAGATAAAATGCTCATTCAGTTGATGTTATCAACAAAACCGGCATAATGATGGTATGTCGGCTAAAGCTAAAAACTTAACCACGTTTGGCTTGGATTTATGATACTTTTTCTCTAGGTCAGTTGGTATACCTGGGTTGTAGTGTGATGATGAAAGAGTTTGTCACGACTCTTCAACCCAGATGTCTGTGATATCTTTAATACCATTGGTTTTGGAAATGTTAATCTCTAATCAACAAGTAACCACCCTTGGGGACTGATACGTTTATAACAATCCAACATGTGACTTGCAACTTATAGTACACTTAAAACGCGTGATTGAACCTACCCACTAAAATAGGATGGTTTTTCTTACCGATGAGAATCAAGCAAAACGCACTAGTACAGCTTTTCTGGAAAACATTATTTTCTAGACTCAGACGGAAGCGGGCACAAATTTCCATCTTGTTATGGTTTATAAAGATGCACTTTTTTTAAATGTGCAAACAATACTTAATTTCCGAAAAAGCAGAACCATTAAACAAACTAAATTTCCGTATTTATAATAAATCCAATTTTGTTTCTCGTGAGAGGCCTCCGTGTATTTAACAAATAATTTTTGTAATTACGTAAAAGGAAAAAAAAATTGTGATGGCTGGATCTGAATATTTCCCCTACAGTTACTGGAATAAAGTCGAATTTCGAATCTTCTGTATCCCTGTTTTTTTTTTTTTTTTTACCAGCGTAGCTCTTGTCGTTTGTGAGTTAACTAAATGAAAGAAGGTTCAGAGTTTACATGGTAATTAATCAAACAAGTTGAATTGAAATTGCTTGGATCGTGTTAGGCTTTTGAACGCTTGGTTAATATAAACAATATAATGTATCTATAAAATAAAAACATAAGTTAACGATGGAAATAAAAAGGTTGGGTGTCAATTATTCGATTTCACAAACACCACTTAAACTTTCACTAGTTTGTCTCACTCTTGTTAAGGAAAAAGTTGAGAGATACTTAAAACGCAGTCAGTGATAAGTGAGGACTCGAAAATAAGAAATTAGGATCTTATATGATCTCCAACAGAGTTTTATCTTGTTCCTTTTTAGTAATATCTAACAAATTTTTCATAAATTGGAAGCTGTGAAAGGTAATATTAGTAGAGGTACGGCGACAGCCATGAGTAAAGAGCAAGAAAATTGGGATGGGAAAAACTATTTGTTTAACAGAGTGGCACGCACAACATAAAACACTTGCCATATATAAGCGTAGTAGTTGGTGTTCCAAGTATAAAAATGAGGCAATAAGTGACCATAAACATCAAAACCTACCTAAAGTACATTGCTAGTCTTGCAGTTACTTACTTTAGGGCGATAGATGTCATTCTACGAAAGCATGAAGATCTTTATCTTCTGTTCAGTGAAGGATCTTTTTGGCTTAAGTCTTATAAAGGTTTGTCGAAAAAAGAGCAACGTGTTCTCATTTAATATCCCGCTTGGTCTAACAAACGGAAATGTTTCTGATATATACAAAAAATAATAAACTGTCTTTCATTAACGCAAATAAAGGTTGAAACAATAGATAGCGCCAGGCGTCAGAGTTAAAGCAATTTGTTCAATTACGTTTTATAAACGTACCCTGGGGTGTTTTTGTGTGACGTCTATCACGTCGGCCCGAGTTAACAATATTGACATATATGATATTGCCGAAAAGAGACAACACTCAGGAAGATATCTCTGTCTCAACGAATGTGGACTTCGTTATCAGAATCAATATTTTGATAATTTTGAATTTTTTGAAGGGGCTTTCACTGCGCGACATAGTATTTTCATTGGGGTCTTGCGTTGGTGGGAGGTTACTTAACATGAATTAATTTCCCCCCTACTTAGGAAGCAGCCTGATTGCTTTCCTTTCTACGTTAGAAATGTAGCTTTTGAGTTGAATTTTTGGCATTTCCTGCCCTTAAGTGGACCCAAAAATTCAAAAACATACATGTGGAGTTCTATTTTTCATGAACACTAAAATTTAACTAAAATAAGACGAAGGTTCTTTATGTTTAGAGAGGAGTGGCATTAAGAGAGAAGCCTGCATTCGGCAGCTAAGATTCTTCAACGATCTGTGATGATTTTACATAGATCTAGATATACTGAAATGTCGGTAATTTCATACTTTTTGACATGAAGTTAATGTAAGCAATGTTGATCTTAATTGCCTTAAAGCCTTAGAAATAACCAAATTTGCCAGAAAGTCAAATGATCTTAAACAGTGCTGGGGTATCCTTTCAGTTTCGTTATATAGCCTAATGGGAAATTTTCAACCAATAATTCATTATCAACTTTCCTATTTTCAAAGTCCCGGCAAAAAAAATTTTGCTGAATAAGTATAACCAAGTGGAGAACAGAAACCAATGGAGAATAAAGGTTATTTTGCACATAACGAAAAATTAAATAATCCATAAAGATCTACAGCAAAAGAAATGAAACAAGTGAGTATCTTCCAAAAAAAATTTGATAAATTAGCCTGTTTTTCAAAATTACTACGACAAAAATTTGTCTCTGAAACATCCTTTGCAATCCTTTCAAATTGTTTTACTGACTCAAATGATGCGCTACATATGAACATCAGCAGTGTTGGCACAACTACATATCATTATTTTCAACCTTTAAAGTATCGAATAGCGAAAAGTGAATCAGCCAACACACATAACTTTGGTTCTCAAAACCTTCTGATGAGGATACCGCTTAATTTAAACATCACTAGCTTGTTTCTTAATTTTTTGGCACATTTTGTGCTTCGGAATCAGATTCAAGATATTTTATGCATTGTCGACCACGCTGAAAGATAAAGCATGTTTCTTAAGAAGCATTAACATGCATCCTTATCGTTACTTTTTTTAAAGTGTCCAAATGCAATCATTCGCCCTGTGGATTAAAACATCTTTAACGTGGTAGCAGCGGAAGTCTGTGTAGAAACGACTGAGTTTTTTAGGCCAGAAAAACTATAAAATTGATTTCAACAAAATAACCGGGTCATTGATAAAAAGTCAGAAATAAAAGGTTTAATGTACTTCTAAGAAGTATGAAAAACAAATTGAGTGAACCTCTGATTCCAGTTCATCTCTGAAGATGGGATAAAATGTCGACCATCTTTCAATGTTCGATTTAGTGTATATAAAGCAGTTTCAAGTTACTCTGAAGGTATAATACCGAGCATTTAGTTTACCAAATATGAAGTTAAGCCCTTTGTGGGCTTCTGACACGAGAAGAGACTATATTTTCCTGAATCACCCAGCCACAACGCTTCAGAGAATGAGCAGAAAATAAAGTTGTAAAATCCAAAAATACACCAGTCCATTACGATAAGTTATTGTGTTTCTAGAACTTTTTTCATAGATAACATTTTAATGTTTACGACGAAGTGAGATAAAGATCATGTAAAACCGTACTATTTTGGCCATACAAATTCATTAATGCAATGAGTATTTGTACAAAGATGGATCAGGCCCACATATCACTGAATTAGACAGATAATAACAGAATAACTGTTCGAAATTTTTACGAGACGAAACAAAGGAAGTTTTGAGTCGTTGAATTACGCATGTTGCTGAAAGGCTAACATGCGTGGTAAATTTGCATCAATCGCAAGTACAGGTTGCACCAAACTGAGGCCCACGCTACAAAGTATCCAATTTTCCATTTCCTTTTCTTGACGTAAGATTGAATCACTTGTTTGTGTAATTTCAGCGATTTTAATTTTGTTTTTCAATTTTGCTTTTCCAATGCATATCAATTCCTTTTACGTTTTTAATCATCAGAAATCAGGGGGCACTCAGATTGAGTGATGCTCTAAAAAGTTCTTGCTTTTCTTTTTCAGGTAAAAAACGTGACATTAGACGAATGATTTTTCTAATTTATGATGCCAAAACGATACTTTTCTTAATACTTATTTCTTCCAAAATATTCTTAAATCAGTGAGTTAAGTTAAACTTCCAAGTTGATAAAACTATTGGATTTTTCCTTCCTTTAATCGATGCAATGCTATTCTAAGAAACCTCGGTATTGGCTTTTTTCATAAAGGGGGTAAGTTTGTAAAGAAACTGTGGTGCTGCGTCTGCGGGGAGTATAAAAAATAATTTGGTTTATCAACTGAGTTTGTGATGTAAATTGGCCATCGTAAAGAGTTTTTAAGCTGACGTTTCGAGCTTAGGCCCTTCGTCAGAGCGAATGGAATTAGCGTTTTTCAGTCGAACCATGTTCAAATTCACCGTCGGTAAAATTCCTTTCACAATTTTTGGTGTTTTCATCTACGGCGTTAACAGCTAATATCATTCTATTATTATCATTAAAACTGTTTGTAAATCATCTTCCTAATTACATTTTAAGCTAAACTGTAGTCCACAATAAAAGTACATACCTGAACACGCACTTGACGAAAAGTAATTTTGGCATGTTTTCAAGGAGACCTTTCTGCTTTATTCGAGATGGTTTCGCACCTTCGATTTAAGACTGACATTGGAAGGCGGATATGGAAAATATTTTAAACATTTTCTTTCATGCAAGACTAAACAAATTTTAATTTTGTGGTATTTTACAAGCTCAAAGGTATCAGTAATAGAATAGTATGCGATACGACTGTTATTTAGTGGTTGTGGCGTTATTTTAAGGCCCTTCTGTCATTAGAAGAGATCCCTTCTCATGTCCTTGTAACGATTATTTCGTAACCAAGTTTCTCGTAAATAAGTTTTGATACACATAGAGGCTTAGCCTACTTGTTCATATTCATGACGCCATTAGCTAGTTACTTAGTATGAGGTCTATATAAGCCATATCACACCGTGATATCACTGTTTTGTAGAGATTTGGCGTGGTTCCCGAAAAACCAGTAGGAAATCCTTTACACGTCCATAAGGGCGAAAATACTGGGGTTATATTTGCAAGGGAAAATAATGTGTTATTAATTATCTCGATACCTTGTCTAATATTATGTCCATGAATAAAATGAATGACTTAAAGAGTAATTTTGAGTCGTGAATTATAGTATTCCG